GGACAAAAATCGTGCACCTATGGATGAGGACAGTGGGTGGGGAGTGAGGGCGGGGGTGGGGTGGGAACTGGGAGGAGGGGAGTTATAGGGGGAAAAAAGAGGAACAAATGTAATAATCTGAACAATAAAGATTTAAATAAAAAAAATTCTCTGACATTAAAAAAAATATATATCCAAGTGGCCAAAAGTAAACATAACTTGTCTTAAAATGAGTTGAGAAAGAAGGTCTAATACAAATACCATGCAGACCTGACAAATGTAGATTAGACTATATATTCTTCTTTTCCAAATTTGTCACATATCAATTTCTTTATCTGAAAAAAAGATTCAGTGCTTGGTGGCATCCTGAAATCATGAGGGCTTTGAGATTTCAGATTAGTTTTTGTTTTCATCTAGTACATTTACTTGAGAAAAATCTGAGGATGCTTATTGTCCAGGTCTTGTGCTGGGCTCTGGGTAGGAGACATTGCTGCTGTTCACCAGAGTCTTAAGATCTAGTTATGAAGAAACAGGAAAAATATTATGGGAATATGAATAAAAGTGATCATAACGGGAAAGGGGAAAGAGAACCAAATCCTCAGGTACCTGTGAATTTATTATTTTTTATTTTTTATATATTTTTTATTGATTAAGATATTACATCTGTGTCCTTATCCCCTACCTGCCCCCCCCCCCTCTCCTGTTTTCAATGTCCATTGTTTAGGCCTATATGCTTGCTTATAAGTTCTTTGGTTGATCTGTCCCCTTTACCCCCACCATCCCCTACCTTACCTCCAGGGCCCTACAGTCCAATCAATGCCTCTCCGTCTCTGGATCAGTCCTTGTTCATCAGTTTATGTTGTTCATTATATTCCACAAATGAGTGAGATCATGTGGTATTTATCCCTTAAAGAATATCCTTCAGCATTTCATATAATCCTGGTTTGGTGGTGATGAACTCCTTTAGCTTTTCTTTATCTGTGAAGCTCTTTATCTGACCTTCAATTCTGAATGATAGCTGTGCGGGATAAAGTAATCTTGGTTGTA